AATCACCTTCATGTTTGAGCTTAGCTCTGTGGTTGCAATCCTTAGGCCATCCCATTTCATGACCTATTTCATGTGTTAATTGCTAAGTGTTACCTACAGCTCTGTGACCTATCTGTTGTGTGCTATTAGTAAGTGTGACCTACATCTCGATGACCTATCTGTTGTGCACTACTAGTAAGTGTGACCTACATCTCTATGACCTATTTCATGTGTTAATTGTTAAGTGTTACCTACATCTCTGTGACCTATCTGCTGTGTACTATTAGTAAGTGTGACCTACATCTCTATGACCTATCTGTTGTGTACTACTAGTAAGTGTGACCTACATCTCTATGACCTATTTCATGTGTTAATTCTTAAGTGTTACCTACATCTCTGTGACATATCTGTTGTGTACTACTACTAAGTGTGAACTAAATCTCTATGACCTATTTCATGTGTTAATTGTTAAGTGTTACCTACATCTCTGTGACATATCTGTTGTGTACTATTAGTAAGCGTGACCTACATCTCTATGACCTATTTCATGTGTTAATTGTTAAGTGTTACCTACATCTCTGTGACCTATCTGTTGTGTGATATTAGTAAGTGTTACCTACATCTCTGTGACACATCTGTTGTTTACTATTAGTAAGTGTGACCTACATCTCTATGACCTATTTCATGTGTTAATTGTTAAGTGTTACCTACATCTCTGTGACCTATCTGTTGTGTACTATTAGTAAGTGTGACCTACGTCTCTATGACATATCTGTTGTGTACTACTAGAAAGTGTGACATACATCTCTATGACCTATTTCATTTGTTTATTGTTAAGTGTTACCTACATCTCTGTGACATATCTGTTGTGTACTTTTAGTAAGCGTGACCTACATCTCTATGACCTATTTGTTGTTGAATGGCTTTAAATGTCCTCATTTTCCACCGCTTGACCTGATTGTTTGGGCGCATGAAGACATCTGAGTTGGCGGTACTTATACCCATGTTGTAAAAGTGCACTCGTTGACCACGGAGGTGGTCGGTAGCGTTCATGCTGAGGAAGACATGAGAAGAGATCAAATATGAGAAGAGATCAAATATGAGGAAGACATGAGAAGAGATCAAATATGAGAAGAGATCAAATATGAGGAAGACGTGAGAAGAGATCAATCTCAAAACAAGGTAAAACGATGTTGAAGATCAGTTATCGTAGAATTATTTGTTGCAATGTTTAATTTAACATTTTAGTAACAAATAAAGCGTTCCAGGTTTCCGGTTTACAAGTCGGTTGTGGCTTACCGATTAGGAAGCGTCGGCCACCGACCCCCTCGGCGTTTGCCTGGAAACAAAACTACTGGACACGCCCCGCGTGGGCAGACAAAGGGTATGCTCGGTACCTGCCGTACATAAAACAGCTCCCACAGGGCTGCCGGCTGGGATATTTCGCAGTCGGAAAGTTAGGCAGAGCCAGGGTAGGGATCATGATTACAAGTTAGCGTTGACGGGTATGAGGCCAGAGGCGAGGGTGGTAACCTCTGGCCGAGGATTCAAATAATGCAGCCGTGAGAACGCTGCCCCTAGGCAACCGTTTCGTCCCAGCTACAGCGTGAACTAGTCGCGTTGTGGAAGCCCATTGTGGAATCCCTCTTATAGGGCGTCCGACGCTTTCCCGGGATGGGTGGGGGAAGATATTAGGACGTAAATTTTTTCATCCCAACTCCTGAGAAAGTCGATTGAGTGCACTGTTTAAACGCATAGTGTCGGATCGACCGGGTGCCTCCTCGTTGGGGCGGCCCCCAGGCGGGGTCTTGGTCGAGCGCCCAGGCGGGGGACTTGGGTGAGGGGCTCGTGTTGGGGCCGTCCTGACGAGTGGGCATCTCCAACGTGCCACTCCGCGGCCCGATACGTCAGACCGGGGAGGGGTAATTTGGGGGGGGGGGCCATAAGAGTCTAGACTCGCCCCGCTGACGCCATTTCTTAATGTAACATTTCAGTAACAAATAAACAATTTGTTAAAATAACTTTTTTTTTTTTAAATCAAGGAAGGTAAACTCAGATAACGTGTACAATCCTAGTCTAAATGTTACGTCATACCGTACAACTCTGTGGACTTTCAAATACAATTCAACATAATCCCTGGATACAGCGTTATCCAGATTTTAAAGTGTTTTTTTTTTGGACCGGCGGTCAAGTTTCCAAACTGCCTGATTTATTAATTATATTTTTTTTAAAATATAAAGTAAGATCCACAGATCCACAGATTCACAGATTCACAGATTCACAGATCCACAGATCCACAGATCCACAGATCCACAGACCACCAATAGGAGAAATCTGCCTGCAAACACAGTACACGCTATTTAAACTCACTGTTAACCTTCTCAACATTTCGTTCCTGATAGAAACTTACACAAAGACACGCTGAAAGTTCAGTTCAAATCAACCAAAGAATTCTCCTCGGGAAAGTGTTTGATCATCGATAGACATGATTTTTAAAATGTAAAGTTACAATTGTGTCAAATTACAATTTTGTCAAGTTACCATTATTGTCGAATCGAACTCTACCTTTATGGATGTGTTTCAATATTTTAAGACAAATCTATATCTTTTTTTTTTAAATCTAAAGACAATTTCATCATTTTTTAAAAACATTCTTCTCAAATAGTTTCTTATCCGAACAGTAAATATGGGGTTCTTAACTTAATTTTTAACAAAATATTTAAAAATTTTTGCGGAGCCGCAACGCACTTCCACTTTATAAAAAAAAAATCCTGCACAATCATCTCACACAATCATCTCACACAATCATCTCACACAATCATCTCACACAATCATCCCGCACAATCATCTCACACAATCATCTCACACAATCATCTCACACAATCATCTAGATTTGAAATATATTTCCCGCATGAGATCGGAAGATC